CTGTACTTGTCTAACTCTACTCTCTTGACTGACTGTAATTGCTACGTGCGATCAGAGCTCTTCTTCAGGCTCTTCTCACTTGATCTAAAGCTTATTATCAATGGATTTCTTCATTCATTCTTCAGGCAACTTTTATTACATTGTCTTTGAGGTGCAGTGTGATCTGTCCTTAGGGAATCTTATATCTGTCTTTGTAAGGTAATGGTCTTTCCTTACCCTGTATTTTTATAGAGCTTTTCCATGAAGTCCAGAGTATCTTTTATTTTATCCTTCACTTCCCAATTAAATTCTCTTACCTGCTTCTTCCACAGCTGCAATTGCTTTGATATACACTTAGGTTTCCAGTCTAATGCTGTTTTTGGACTAGAGTGGTAGCCTATTTACCCATCTATCCATCTGTCTGACTGAGTTATACTGAGTTATTGAACAGGTTCTTCAGGCAGCTTATACAAAGCTGCAACTCATAATTACACATACTCAGACTTTAAGAGTGAAACAAATACAAATTTAGAGTGCAATCCTATGCCCTGCATCCTTGGGTCACACAAGCTGCCAGAGTTGGAGGTTTACAGAGCAAACCACAGTTGCAGTGCAAGTTTAACCCATCTATTGAAAGCCCTAGGGAAGCTGAGGGATGGAGGCTGGGATGCCAATAAGAATTAGCACAGGCCCTTAACCTCAGTCTCCCTGGCTGCCCCCCGGCTCTGACACACGCCCCTTCTCCTCGTCCACAGCCCACCTGAAACTTGGGGAAGCAGTCAGCAAGTTCTTTCCATGCCAGCTCTGAGATTGGTGGTGTGGAGACTCAGTCATTCAGGTCCCAGCTCTGAGATCACCTGATCTTGGAGCTGAGATTCCAAATAATGTTATGGCCTCCTAGATGATGCTTGCACCCTTAGAAAACCACAATATAAAAGAGGAGTGCACAACCTGTATTTACTCACAGCCATTATTGCTGCCCCAATGGGGGCTACCATCAAGTCCCTTCTACTTCTCCTTGGAGACCCTCAGCAGCAAGGGAAGAACACTCTCCATCAGGATCACTGAAGTGTGTGCTTGTGGACCCTGGATCTGCACCCTAGATCCCTTGAGGCCAATGTGCTGCTGATATAAAGAACAGTATAAAAAGAGTAAGTAGAATTAAAAAGAAGACTGAAGGAGCATAAAAGCAATGTGTAGAAGATTAAAAATCTGTAGTACCAGTCTTTGTCTAGTGCTGAAATGAATCAAGGGAGGCACCATGTGAGCCTTGCCAGAAAGGGCACCCCACAGTTGGGGTCTCACCACCATTAGAACTTTTCTGCTGTAGTCAGCTTGCAGTGGCCCTGCAGATGGTGCTGCCATCTGAAGAAAGACTTCTGTTAAGGGGTCCTTCAGGAATCTGTCAGCATTGTGACTTGAGCCCCAAAATGTACTGGGGACCAGTGCAGTAGGTGAAACTGCATCATGGATCACTGGTTCCAGAGCATCTCTGTCTTGGTAGAGTGCGCTGGTGATGCACCAGACTAAGCTAGTGGAAATAGAAGTCTATCCTTTACCTAGGACACTTATATGCCAATGACAGAAATGGAACAATGTTAAGTTCTTCCTTTGGGAGGAACACAACTCTATTCAGGGCAGAGTGAAAGCTACTAACCTGGGCAGATGAATAATCCACAATACAACATTCAATATTACATTCTCTTGGCTGATTTGGTGTTGGGACACTTCATTTGCTTATTCCCTTTTAGCTGCTCTTGGATTTACTTTCCAGTTTGATTTGCAGATGACCATAAAATGACCCAGATAAATAAGTATAACATGGTTTAAAATGTTTTTTTAACTAAAATTTACTACTGCTCCCAAATTTCTCTTCTGTATATGGGAAGAGAAGCAGGAGGATAGTCACCCAACAGCACCCAACTCAATGGAGCAGTGATAGTGGTGTAGGATGTGAGTATAATGGAAAAAAAGTGGTTTTCAAGACCTGGTTTCCAACAAGAACACATTCTACCAATGCAACATTAGATGGATGTATAAAGAAAGCATCCCAGTCAGAGTCTTACACTGAGCCTTATCTAAATAGGTTTTCACAAACGTTACTTCCTATTCACGTTCAAAAATAAATAGCACTGAAACTTTGCTAACTTGTCACCCTCTCATTTTTATGACTAGAAATATAGTATTTATTTAAATCTATATAGTCTTTCTTGGTATTCCCTTTGATCCCAAGTACTCTTTGGTCCTGCTTCCCTATCTTATTCTCCAGTCCCATCCCTTCTGTTTCCCACTCTCACAGTCTGACAGTTCTTCGAAACAGACCGTTAGTTCTGGTCTCCTAGCTTGTTCCACATTGCTGCCATGGCCCAGCCCTGACATGTATGTTGCAGCCTCCAGGCTCCATTTCCCAGCAAGATAGCTACTTAATCCTTCTCTGAATCCAAGCTGTGACATTTGAACATCTTGTACCTGAGTTCCTTCCATCCACTCTGGGGTTTCATTTGACCATTTATATTTACGTTATTGCTCAGGTCAAATATAGTGTGCAGTGGTGGACCACACAGTATAAAGCCAGACATGAGAAAGAGGTGCTTTTCTGAAAGTTTCTGAAGTTATTAAGGGATCATAAAAGCAAAAAATTGGTATATCAATATATCTGGTAATAACAATTCCAGATGATGAAGTATAAGCTAATGTAAAAGAGCTGCAATGTATGTTGCCTTTCTTTTAAAAGTCTGAAATCTCACTTGCACAAAAGAATTACATTTTTCCTAGCTTTCATGCTTACAACTTTTTCTTCTATAGTTCTTGCTACCTTCACCTAATTAAATTTAATCAGAATTTCTCAAGGTTTCCTTCAATATGTGAATAAAGGTACAAACCTATGTAAGTTTAGACAGAAAAAAAGGCCTGTAACTCCCAGCATGCTACAAACAACATAGTCTTTAATTCTGTCTAAGCTTGCATAGGATTATGCCTAAGGTAGTACATCATCAATGGTGCTTCTCATTCGGATGCATCTAGAGAAGGCAGGGGGAAATCAAATGCAAGCAGAAGAATAGATAGACTTTTTTTTCCTGATAGTGAATGTGGAAGTTTCACTGGCTTCCTGAGTCAATCTATGTATCATCTGTTCATTTTGGAATGTGCTTTGTACTTTTTTTTTATTTTTTTGGTTGAAAAATACTGGAAGAAGCAGTAGCTGCAGTAAAGCACAAATGGATAAGAAAAACTATGCAGCCAGCCATGCTAGTGTTTAAATTTGCATGTGACAAAAACTTGTTGCCCGATATACAAAGCAGCCATTAATCACCCTTGCAGGAATGGTGCTGTTTACCACTTACAGAAATAATGTTGCATTGCTTCGGAATGTCAAACAGGAAACATTGGCCATGACACAAGACAAAAACAATAACATTTTTCTTAAGTTATTATCTTAATGCAAAATGATAATGTTTAAAAACAGGACTGCTTGCAATGTGCACCAAGCAGTATGCATTTGTTTCCTTTTATATGTGTATTACGTACAAGCATAGAAAATCTGATGACACATGATGTGGGGGTTTTTTTTAGCCTTAAGGCTTTGGCTGATTACATCTGTAAACAATGAACAGATACAATGCTGAGAATGCTGTGGCCATGAGGTATTTTTCAGATCTGAAAGAAAAGATAAAAGAGTAAATCTCCAATTGGTGGAATTTCCTGCAGTCTGGTCATCTTCACTATTGTCAGATCTTTAAAGACTTAAATGTACAACACGATCTATTCCAATGTTCTACTCCATACTCCATACTCCACTCCATTCCACTTGAGCCTACCTTTTCTTCCCATCACAGGACAAGTTTACAGTAACTATTTTTCCTTAAAGAAATAATACTGTATATTAAACTCGTGGGCACAATTTTGTTGTTCTTTCAAAATGTAGAAGTCAGTAAGATTTTTCTAGGAGACAAATTGGATGGAAGAAGATGAGGAAGGTTTGACCAGATGACTCTTGCTCTTGTTGGTGCATTGTGATCTGTCCCCCACTTTCCCTTTGTTGTCTTCCTGCTGATCAGACCATCAGGTGGAATGAGGCAACTGATTTGGGAAGCAGACACTGGGAGCTGTGGTGGAAGTCCACACTCCAGCCAGCTCCATTCCCCGTGGCTTGTGCCCCGTGGCTTGTTACTTGGTCTTGTCTGTCTGTTTCATAAAATGGTTTTCTTTCTAATCATCATAAATAAAGCTATCTGGGAAAGGCCTGCATAATTGAAAGGTGCCAGTCAGTCTGGAAATTATAGCCTCCAACATGGTAATCTTTCTCCCAGTGAATAAATGTTAGTTTGTAATTACTGATTTCCTCAGGTCTGCAAATTCACATAGCAATGATTATTTCTATGGAGAATGGGTGCGAAGTTCATTTTAGCTCATTCTTGACCACAGTCTGTCCAATTCACGCCTCCCAGGGCTGTAGGCCTGAACACAATCTGTAGTTGAAAGTATGTAAATTTCTGAGTTTACAGTACAGTTGAAGTAGCAACAAAAATGCATTCAAAAATGTACACTTGAAAACTGCTCTGGAAAAAAAGTCCTTGACTCAGACAATAATTCCACATGTGTTTTGACTGGGTAGGGGCTCCAGTTTCTCTTCCATCTCAGGCAGCAAAGAATCTTGAGCCAAATGTGATGCTAAATAGTGGACATTTACTACAAATGTTCATATCTATGGAATATTTGCCATTAATGTCTGCAGAAAAGAGTTTTGAAGATGATGGTTGAAATTAGTGTTGTTAATTTATAATTGGAAGAATACGTGGCTTCCACATATTCTTTATACGTGGCCTTAGAGAATAGCCTTAGAGCTTGGTAGAGAATACAAAAATTTCAGTATGATTATGGTGAAGAGAAACATAGAAGTATCCATTTGAAAGAGATGCTCTGCTGAATTGCCTCACCTTCTGGCTAATTGAGTCGGTCGCTGTGTGAAAAAAACAAACTGAATGCAACTGTGACAATCCTTTTGTCTTCCTTCAGGCCACCAGCTATTAGATATTTAATGCAGTATGTTTCAAATAAATAACTTTTTTTTTTTTTACTAATTAGACTCTATCCTTTGAGTAGCTGATACATACTAATTCATTTATGATAAATTCTTATGAGAACTCTTCATGTTTTGACACAATTCTAATCCTTAATATAGTTTCAGCATCTTATCTTTCTAAAGATCACACTGCTCTAAAGTTCCTTACTTGCAGTTTGTCACAATTTTTATATGAGTCATGTATACTAATTTCATCCTGCTTGTTAGAACATTAGACGCTCCTATTGATTAAATAATTCAAGTATTAATGTGCTGTGAGGCTGTGTGACCCATTCAGCATTTTTTAAAACAATTACAAATTTCCATTACTTGCCAGAATGGCAACTTTAACTGTATTCACTAGAGTAATGAAGATGTACCTATAGTTCACTAGGCTGGGATTACTATCTGTGGCATTCCACTGACCCCTAGTGGCTTCCACTATGGTGCATGGTGTTTAATGGAGGGCATAATCTTGGTAGAGGGGATTGGGGAAATGCAAAGTACTTTAAAAATGTGTCGTGTTGCTTAAAACATTTTAAAAAGCTAAGAACACTGCCAGTATTTTTTCAGCTTCATTAGTTAATAGCATAGAATTGCATAATCTAAGATACTTGAGCTGGATATTTACCTACTTTATCAAAATAACTGTAAGTTGAGAAAAGAAATTTGGAAATATATTAGCTTTAAAGAAGCAAGCATGGGAGCTAAGATTTTCTGAAAGATTTGGTAATATATGGCACTGAAACAGGAATACACCTTTTTAAATGCTTTATCCCAAAATGTCATGGCAACAAATTAGAGCATTAAGCATCGCCCGCCTTCCTTGTATGGTAATCATGATCAACCTCCTCCCCTCAGAGAGCTTTGCCATATCTATACAGTGGTACCTTGGCTCTCGAACTTAATCCATTCCAGGACTCTGGTCGTGACCCAAATTGGTCGTGAGACAAGTTAAATTTCCCCATAAGGTTCAATGTAAACAAGTTAATCCGTTCTGTAACCATTTTTTAAATCAGAAAAATGTGAAGCAAAGTGACAGTAACAAAGATCGCAGCCATCTCCTCTCCCCACCCCCCGAGCACAAGCGTGGCCATCTCCCTGCCCCCCCCCAGCATGACCAAGATCACACCTGTCATCCTTGCATGGGCCTGTCACCCCTACAGGCACCCGTCATCCTGGCGCGCTGAGGGGTGGAGGGAACAGACGGGCGTGATTGCTGGCGCACTGGGGGATGAAGAGAGGGGACAAACGGTGTGCTGGGGGAAGGAGAGATGGGCGTGATCTCGGCCATCTCCCTCCCGCCCCAGCACAATTGCTGCCATCTTCCCACTTGGGGGTGGGGAGATGGCCGCGATCGTGCTGGTTGGAGGGGGGGGGGAATGGCCAAGAATGTGCCCGTCATTCCTGCAGGAGTCGCCTCCGATCACGCACATCTTCCCTGCATGAACAGAACTGCAGTCGTGGCCATCTCCCCAGTTGGGGCGGGGGGGAGATGGCTGTGATCTTGGTCACCACCCAATGCAGAATTTGTGACCCACATCAAAATTTTAATGAAATTTTTGTTTGTGACCCGATTTGTTCTTGAACCAAAGCATTCGTGAGCCGAGGTACCACTGTATTTGCTGCCTCTGTACTAGCAGTCTTTTTCAGAGCTTTGCAAAAAGCCAAATACTGATAGATCTGGTGGGAAATGGTGGATATCTTCCAGAATCATGCATGACAGCTTAGCATTATCTAAAATAAATTGTACCAGCACTTACCTGAATGCCCCTGTGGGTTGCAAAGTTCATTAGATTATCTAATGTGAGTGAGAGCCAATGCAGCAATAGAAGCTCTCACTGCAGGAATAACACTGACCCTTCTATGCCTTTTTTCCCAGATCAAATCAAGGTTATATACCATTTGGGGTATCATTCAAAAGTACTACTGTGAACTGCCCCTTTAGGAAATTTCAATAATTCTTCTATGACCCACATCTGAATTCGCTGGCAGAGCCCATGCTCTTGCCTTTGTCTCAAGCACTTAATACTTTTCTAGATGAGACAGTAGTGCTTTAACAAAGAAACTACATGCAGACTGTACTGTATCACCGATTCTGGCAGAAATAGCTGGAATGTCTTATAAAAAGTGTATAGTTTCCAAACACATATGCAAGTTGCCTGCCCCAAATACTGGACAGTAGGTGCAATACCAATATAGGCCTTTTAAAAAGGAAGTATGCATCTCTCTTTCACAAACAAAATAAAGATGAAACTATGCAATGCTAGCAGGATCTTGAGAGTGAACTCTAACCATCCTGATTTTCCCATTTGCTTTTGTAATTCTCATTTGGTTTTGTTATGTACTATCAAATAATTTCCAACATAGAGCTCTTTTAAATCAATGCTTTCCACAATACCTTGTCCTTGACAGCCTTGATGAGTTCTTGTTAAGTCAGGGCTGTGACTTCCTTTATATAATCAATCCAACTCATTGTCAGAGTTCCTCTTCTGCCTTCAACTTTCCCTAGTATTATCATTTTCTCCAGTGAGTCTCGCTTTCTCATGATGTGCCCAAATTATGACAGTTTGTTTTGTCATTTTTGCCTCCAGGGCAAGTTCTGGCTTGATTTGATGTAGGACACACTTGTCTGAGTTTTTGTCAGTCCAGGGTATTTGCAAAGTTCTCCAGCGCTATATTTTAAATGCATCAATTTTCTTCCTGTCAGCTTTCTTCACTGTCCACCTCTCACACCCATTTGTGGTGATCAGGATTACAATACTGGGGATAATCTTGACCTGGGTCTCCAGTGAGTCTTCACTGCTGTACCAAAATAAACCTTTAGTAGGCTCCAGTGCTGTAATGGAAATGGAAGCAGGGAGTAACAATTTCCTGTATTGATGAACCCACCCTTTCAATGGGCTCATCTTGTCTGAACACTCTAGTTCACAGCCACTTGGAAAGTCTCTGAACACCTTTGCCAAGGACCCTTCCTGTCAGCATAGTTGTAGGAAGAAGGGTGGGAATTAAGAAAAGCACTGATTTTCATGGCCAAAGCTCAAAAAAGCACAGAACTTAACCATTGTGGAATACTGCAAGAAAACAAGAGGTAGATTTGAAACAATGCAGGGAGAGGGTTTTTTTGCTTTTAGCAAGAGATCAGTTTTTTAAGCCATAGATTTGAATGTCCAGATAGAGAAGAGGTTGAAAATGCCTTGATGTCGGGGTCATGCAGTGAAGCATTTTGGGGAAACTCCAGCATCACCTTGCACAGAATGCACCACTAGAAAGAATCCTTACAGTTGGTTTATTGTATGCAGTTTGCTGGGGGTGGGGGGTGGGGGCAGGGAGCAGACAAGGAGATGAGCTTGGGAAGGATGCACAGAGAAAGGAAAAAGAAGAGGCAGCAGGGAAGCAATAGCAGTGGTGATAAGCAGCCAGGTTAGACGGAGAAGGGAAAAAAGAGTAGAAGAAAGCAGCATCGCTGGGAAAGGATGTGGGTAAAGGGAAGCGGCAAGGGTGGAGGTGGAGTAGAAGGCAAAGTGATGAATGAGAAGAGTGGTGAAGGAAGGAGATGGGGGTGGGCAAGAGAGGAAAAACGGGTGGTAGAATGTCTGTCTGAGGGGTAGCCAAAATGTTACCTTTTCCAGGACACCAAAATAGGTTGAGGTCAGCCTGGGAAGAATCAGAGAAGACTACAATCACACATTCTGCATACTTGAACACTCAAATAAAATCAATGAAGTCTACGGAACATGTTGCATGTTACGTACTTGCATAGAAACTTATGTTTCAGCGTGTGTAGAGTCTGTTGCAGATAAGAGGGTCTGAGGTATTAGATGTTGCCAGGAAAACTCAGAGTAAGAGTAAGATCACATTTCTGGGAATTGGAGAACAGTGAAATTCAGTTATTTAGTGGAAATGGACTGTTGCTTTGTCCAGTGGTACAGCAGCATCCATTTGTGATATGATCTCTCCAGCAAACCAGAAAAATTAGTTAGTGGCTAAATCCAACCTCTTGATGATTCCAACTTGCATCTCAAAAGATTTGGGCAGTTCCAGCTGCACAAAACATAAAGAGTTTAAGTTCCCAATGAGCACCAGAAAACTTCAGATAAATTTATTCATATTTCCTAGCAGGTTGCTGAAACCTAGATACTCAAGGGGGCACTGTTGAATTACATCAGAGAAGCACAGTCTTTTATAGTGTTCTAGTAAGCTTTGTATGAAGGGATACTCTTTGTTCTTTAACGGAAATTCTCCATAAGCTTTGTTCTGCTAAAATATCCAAACTTATTTCACTTTGGTTTGGCTATCGTCTGTAATTTTTTTCCATGAAATTTGAGATAAGCAAAACTTTTATGTTGCCATCTTTATGTTTGCTTAAATTTTGATAATAGCTTGTTACGTTTCTATTTATTTGGAGTCATACATCTGAAATGGAAAGTACTAAAAATAAAAAAGTTTTATTCTTTCAATTCTGCTAAATACTATTAATTGTTCCTGGTAGACTTGCCCTTCCCACAAATGGATCATCATCCATTCAAGGAAGGGACTGATATTCAGTTAATGCCCTGCTATTTTGGAGAATTCTGTAACTCACAGCACAGCTTTTCAGGAGCTGTGGAGAAAAGGAAAAAAAATTGTTCCACTTGCATAAATGTCCATTTACATGAATGCACACTTGCGTTAATGTGGATTTGTGCAAATACAACTTTGTGCAAATCTCAACCTCTTCCAAAGAGAAAAATTGGTTTGCAAGTCTATGGAATATGCATAATTTAGAAAAAGCTAGTTAGCTGCGGAATCCATTAGATTCATAAAAATGCAGACAGCTTAAATTGTTGCATTGTTCCAACTCAGAATTTATTTAATTGGTCAAATTTTTACTCCACCTTTTCTCCAAAGTCCTCAGAGTGTAATACCTAGCTATCTGCCGCCACCACTCTCTCATGTTTGTTAATAAAAACTCATTGTCCAAATCTGAATTCTTATGTATCCAAATGTCACCATTCACAGATTAGAGGAAGGTATAAACAGGTTCAGGAAAAACCTGAGTTTTTAAACAGGTCTTAATCAGGAGAAAAATCCTAAAACATTCCAATGGGAATTTAACATGGTCTTTGGACATGAAATACTAATCGACTGTCTGGCTGTGTGCACACATATGGTGGAAACTGTGCAGGCATGACTTGTCATTATATGTGATTACAGCTTCTGTGTTTGCATGTGTGTGGATCGGTTGGTGGGAGGATGGGAAACTGGGTGGGAATGTAATGGAGTAACCTTGAAAAGCATATGACTAGCTGGAGTCCAGAATAGTAGTACTCCACACCACGACATTTTGTTGAAGGTCTTTCTTTTCCCAGCGGTCCTTTGAAGTAGCGAGGCTGAAATGACATGATTGGCACAGGTGAATTCCTTAGCCGAGTTGGGATTGGAATCCAAGTGTCCCTGGTCCTCGTATGAGTGTGTCACATTATACCACCCTGTGGCAAGATGGCAAGATGCCACATTCTATCCTCACTGCTCCTGAACATCTTTGCCCAGCTTCATAAAACTAGTGCTCTACTCCTTACATGGATGGTGCCCAGCATTAACCCATGGATAGAAATGAGGTTTTGTTGTTCTTGAACATAGCTGGGAAGCAAACTGAGAAGCGTTGAAGGAAAGGGCAATTTTTGGATGGGGATGGGTGAGAAAGAGAGGGTAAGAGATAAAGCAGCAGTAGAACTCTATAGGGGTTTTTTTTTTTTTTTTTGGTGTGGGGGCAGGATGTAAAGTGGCAGTTACAGCAACAGGACCAATCATCTCAGAGTAGTTAAGCTGATTCAATTGAGATCTACGTTTTGCTTCTATTTTATGTGCCTGTAAGATCTGCCAGCCATGAATTTCTCAGGCCTGTGTGCTCTTTGTATGCATTTTCTCCTATTCTGAGACTTGCAAAATGCTCTGAAAGCAGTAATTTGATATCACAGAAATTGACACTGATATGGAAAAAATACTGGTCCATCATGACCTGTATAATAATGTAAATGGCTGGCAGGCAGTCTGAATGCTGACTGCTAGAAAGTTA